GGGGTCGCCAGCCAGAACCAATGTTCCATGTTCTTTTCTATTTTTTCTTGTCTGCACTTTCTAATTGTTCTATTTCTTTATATATATATATATTTTAGTTTGCTTGACTTTTTAATTTCTTTAATTTGTAATGTTTAATGAAAGCCACCAAGGAAGGCAATAGTGGTGCTCTCCTTTCCCCTTCAGTAACTGGAGCTGGCCAAACTCCATCCAAGGGAAGATTCGCGTTCTCTCCTGTCTGCAACGCTACCAACCTCTCATCTCCGGTTTGCAACTCTGGGCCTCTGCGTGGCCGGCCAGGAGCCCCAGAACAGGCAGCCACATCCAGGTGAGAAGCATCGTCCTGCGAGGACACAAAGCAGAGGGCAGTGAGAAGGAGCACAGCATGCTGGAGCCCCAGGTCTGGGGTCCTGCTCAGCCACGGACCCCTGCAGGTCCCCTCCTGGGAGATGCCGGGAGGGCCTTGGGGATCAAGATCTCCCTTGCCAGAAGCTGGCAGCCCTCCCGGTGGGGTAAAGGGCTTTCCCAGGGGAAGCAGACCAGGCCAGCAGAGGAGAACAAGTGTTTCAAAGTGGGACATTCGGAGAAGTAGCAAACGTAACACGTGGTCAAGTGAAGAAGTGAAAAAGAGAAGCAAAGTTGGGAAGACGGCCTGATTCCAAAAATCCCGAAAGCACATTGGGGTGCTCTCTTTGCTTGGTTACTTTTTTTTGCAGACCCAAACTAGGCAACATCACTAGCACTGACCACTAACACTAACACTGGTGATGTTACTTAGTTTGGGTAATGAAATTAGTTTGGGTCATCTAGTTCAGGGGTCCCCTAATTTGGCAACTTTAAGACTTGTGGACTTCAACTCCCAGAATCCCCCAGCCAGTGTGGCTGGCTGAGCAATTCTGGGAGTTGAAGTCCACAAGTCTTAAAATTGCAAGGTTGGAACCCCTGGGTTACAGCAAACTTAGAGGAAGTGGTTGAGGTTGACAGTTAGAAGAATTAACCAGTAGAACCACCTGCCTCCAGAAGCTGTGAATGCTCCAACACTGGAAGTTTTTAAGAAGAGACTGGACAGCCATTTGTCCGAAATGGTATAGGGTTTCCTGCCTGAGCAGGGGGTTGGACTAGAAGACCTCCAAGGTCCCTTCCAACTCTGTTGTCCTTCCTTCCTTCCTTCCTTCCTCCATCCCTCCCTTTTCCAACACTGGAAGTTTTTAAGAAGAGACTGGACAGCCATTTGTCCGAAATGGTATAGGGTTTCCTGCCTGAGCAGGGGGTTGGACTAGAGGACCTCCAAGGTCCCTTCCAACTTTATTATTATTATTATTATTATTATTATTATTATTATTATTATTATTATTATTATTATTATTATTATTATTATTATTATTATTATTTCTGGGAGTTGAAGTCCACAAGTCTTCAAGTTACCAAGGTTGGAGATCCTGATCTAGTTGACGTTCATGCCTGTGGCAGGATAAGAATTCATGGCCTTCTACCTACTCAGGCATGGCCATAATCCTGTATCAAATTGCCAGCTAAGCACAATTGGGTCTAAGCATACACAAGCACGTTCAACACTCTTCAAACGTTTTGTATGTCAACTCCCAGATGAAAAGCATTTTGTAAATAGGTCCATCAAGGTGGGGATCCCCCGTTGAAAGTAGAGAAGGCATCTGGTCCTGGTCTGAGGCATTTGCTCCACAGGCTTTGTTTAACTCACCTGGAGTCTCTCACTTGGCCCACGAAATGTGGGTGAATTTCACAGCTGCTCCTCTTCAAACTGCGTTTTCTCCAAAATATTGACATTCTCCTGTACTGGAGGACAGTTTTAACTTCTTTCCTAATGGAGTGGCTCCTCCTTCAGAGAACTCAGCTAACCAACGGGAAGGTTCAGAGCTTCTGCCGGAGACCAATCAAGACCAGGTTTCAAATCTTGGTGGCTTCCTCTTTGTTTCTGGGTGCTGACAACCCCCATTCTCACCTCTTCTTTCCACGTGTTAAGTGATTCGCTTCTGGACAGGTACATAATAGCCTTCTTTGGCAGATGCCAAGTGGTTTCGATATCGGAACATCATCATTGTCTGTGGGCAAACAACAATATGAATGTTGTTTTTGCAAGACTCAACCATGCTCACTCCTTCAAAGTCAATACTCATCAAATTTGCAGACGACACCAAGCTGGCAGGAATAGCCAACAGTCCAGAAGACAGGCTTAAGATACAGGAGGATCTGGACAGACTTGAACATTGGGTACTATCTAACAAAATGAAATTCAATGGAGAAAAAAGTAAGGTTCTACATTTAGGCAAGAAAAACCTAATACACAGTATAGCCTATGTGGTACCTGGCTCAATAGTAGCAACTATGAGAGGGACCTCGGAGTCCTAGTGGCCAATCCCTTAAATAGGAGCCAGCAGTGTGCTGAAGCTGCCAAAAAAGCCAACAGCGTGCTGGGCTGCATTGACAGAGGGATAGAATCAAGATCACGTGACGTATTAATACCACTTTACAAGGCCTTGGTAAGGCCACACTTGGAATACTGCATCCAGTTTTGGTCACCATGATGTAAAAAAGATGTTGAGACTCTAGAAAGAGTGCAGAGAAGAGCAACAAAGATGATCAGGGGGCTGGAGGCTAAAACATATAAGGAACAGTTGCTGGAATTGGGTCTGTCTAGTTTAATGAAGAGAAGGACGAGGGGGGACAGGATAGCAGTCTTCCAGTATGTCAGGGGCTGCCCCAAAGAAGAGGGAGTCAAGCTATTCTCCAAGGCGCCTGAAGGCAGGATGAGAAGCAACGGGTGGAAACTAATCAAGGAGAGAAGCAACCTGGAACTAAGGAGAAACTTCCTGACAGTGAGAACAATTAACCAGTGGAACTACCTGCCTCAAGAAGCGGTGAATGCTCCAACACTGGAAGTTTTAAAGAAGAGACTGGACAGCCATTTGTCTGAAATGGTCTAGGGTTTCCTGCTTGATCAGGGGGCTGGACTAGAAGACCTCCAAGGTCCCTTCCAACTCTGTTATTCTGAGATGACTGTTTCTGGGCAGCCTCTCAGTCCCAGGAGAGCCTTGTGGAGATGGGCAGAAGTGATTCCCAGAGCATCAGTGGAGGAAGAGGGACGTTCTCTCCATTATCCAGGTTTAAGGTCACGTTTCAGGGGAGGCAAAGTAGGAAAAGCTGATTATTTGATCAGGATAAGTTTCAAGCAAAGCTCAGTTAGGTACATACATGCTGTGTTAATTGTTTATTTAGCATCCTTTTCAGGACAGACTCAAGGATGTATGGAAGGAAGTGCAAAGTACACAAAACCCTGCTCTGCTTGTTCTAGAGAATGGCATGGGGGGGGCAGAGGGACAATTACGCAGGAAATTTAACAAAAAAACTGGCAATGTTGAAGCTGAAAGGTGAAAGTCCAGGTGTACTCTGAAAAGGCCTGGTAGATTCTCAAACTGGCTGTTTCTGTCTGTGAATCAATGGTCCGGTCTTATCCCAGTCATGAACTCTGATTGTTGCCTACAGAATGGTGGCTGTGGTGGGGTCTGGCTTGGTAAATATGAATTACTATAGTATTATTTATCCTTGTATTACCTCTTAGTTCCCCTTTCTACAGGTTGCACACATTATTATTATTTTTTTCTCTGTTGTCTTGCAAGTGTAGTGAGTGTTTCTCTACCCAAGATAAATTCCTTGTGTGTCTAATCACACTTGGCCAAATAAATATTCTATTCTATTCTATTCTATTCTATTCTATTCTATTCTATTCTATTCTATTCTATTCTAAAGATAAGATAAGATAAGATAAGATGATAAGATAAGATAAGATAAGATAGGACAACCTTTATTGTCATTTTTATACTGTGCGCACAATGGCACACATCAAAAATGAAATTTAGTTGCCCGCTCTCAAAGTGAAACATATACATGACACACACCTAATCATACTATGAACAACATATTAATAATAATAATGATGATGATAACGTTGGAAGGGATCTTGGAGGTCATCTAGTCCAACCCCCTGCTCAGGCAGGAAACCCTATACCATTTTGGACAAATGGCTGTCCAGTTTCTTCTTAAAAACTTCCAATGTTGGTGCATTCACTGCTTCTGGAGGCAGGTGGTTCCACTGGTTAATTGTTCTAACTGTCAGGAAGTTTCTATAATAAATATTAAACACTGTCCATCTTGAATACGTAACGGAAGGAGGAAGCTTGAGAGTTAGCAAGGTTAATGCTGTATGGAATGAAACTCTGGCTGAATCTGCATGTTCTGCTTCGGATACCACGAAGCCCCCCCCTCCCAGAAGGTAACAAGGAAAACAGGTCGTGAAGAGGGCGTGTAGTGTCCCAGATGATCTTACGGACCCTGCTCAAGCAGCACTTCTGTGCTATGTCCTGGATGGGAGGGAGGGAACTGCCAATGATCTTTTCGGCCATCCTCACCACTCTCTGCACCGCCTTCCTGTCTGAAGCATTTAGAATATTCTATTCTATTCTATTCTATTCTATTCTATTCTATTCTATTCTATTCTATTCTATTCTATTCTATTCTATTCTCCATTCCATCCCATTCTCTATAGAATATAGAATTCTATCTAGCAGTGTTCCAATACTTGAGGGGCTGCCACAAAGAAGAGGGAGACAACCTGTTTTCCAAAGCAGTTGGGTGTGTCTAGTCTCTAGTTTAATGAAGAGAAGGACAAGGAGTGATATGATAGCAGTGTTCCAGTATTTGAGAGGCTTCCCCAAAGAAGAGGGAGTCAAGCTATTCTCCAAAGCCCCTGAAGGCAGAACAAGAAGCAAAATAGATGGAAACTGATCAAGGAGAGAAGCAACCTGGAACTAAGGAGAAACTTCCTGACAGTGAGAACAATTAACCAGTGGAACAACCTGCCTCCAGAAGTGGTGAATGCTCCAACACTGGAAGTTTTTAAGAAGAGACTGGACAGCCATTCGTCCGAAATGGTATAGGGTTTCCTGCCTGAGCAGGGGGTTGGACTAGATGACCTTCAAGGTCCCTTCCAACTTTATCATCATCATTATTATTATTATTACCCAGTGGGGCTGGGGGTGCCAGCTAAGAAAATCCTCCCCGATAGGATTAAATATTGACCAAGCTCCATTCATAAATCGGCAGAAATATGGACCTAGGAAGTGCTAGCCAATGTCTCCCTCTTCTGCTGGGCCGCATAGAGCAGGGGGTCTCCAACCTTGGCAACTTCAAGATTTGTGGACTTCAACTCCCAGAATTCCTTAGCCAGCTATGCTAGCTGAGGAATTCTGGGAGTTGAAGTCCGTAAGTCTTAAAAGTTGCCAAGGTTGGAGACCCCTGGCGTAAGAGTGCTCAAGTCAAGAACACCAGTAGCATAGATCCTCCACTAGGGGGGAAGCAGATGCCTTTGCTGGTGGGGAGATGGGAGTGCCTTCTGGTCTTGGGAACCCCTTTTGCTAGAAAGAGCCACAGAGAAGCTGATTTAGGAAGGCACCTGCTCAGTATTTACCTGAGCAGGTTGTGCCAATGTTGAGCTCTGTTGACTCCAGTGAAATCAACCAGGGGGCCAAGAGCCACAGAATCTGGGGCCCCTAACAAAATGTGAGAATTAGAGACTGAGGAATCCCCGTAGTTTACCTGGTGGGCATTCCTGAAGTGGCACCTGCTTCCCAACCCCACCCCTTGGTCCAAGAGAGGAAACAAAGCCACCTAGATTGTTGGCTCATTGGTTGGATTTATATCCCAATTATCCCCCAGGAGATCAAGGGGGTTCACTGGGAAATCTCCGTTCATTGTGGGTAAAAGGAAAGGATCCTGTAGGGCAGGGGTAGTCAACCTTGGCTCTTTTATGACTCGTGGACTTCAACTCCCAGAATTCCTGAGCCAGCTAAGCTAAGCTGGCTCAGGAATTCTGGGAGTTGAAGTCCACGAGTCATAAAAGAGCCAAGGTTGACTACCCCTGCTGTAGGGTATATTGGGCCAGGAGGAAAGGAGAATGGCTCAAAACGATGCTGAATTTTCATAGATGTGCTCTCAAATCAGCGCTTGAATTGCTCTACGTAGCACTAGTTGGTCCCCATGGAAGGCAGGATGCAGGATATGGTTCCCATAGAAGGGAATCTCTTTAGCTCTGTGGGGTCCTTGGTGCTCTCTGAGCTTGGTGGTTTCCTTGCAGACGTTTCGTTACCCAGCCCTGTGACATCGTGGTGTTTGTCTGCGTGGAGACAACCAAGCTCAGAGAGCACCAAGGACTCCGCTTCCTCTACAGTTGAGGCTCCTGGACTAACTCAGTCCCAAAGCTCCTTTGTAAAAAAAGGAAGGATCCCCACCTGGAACTGGATTCCAGGTGACACCAGGCATGCCGTTGTCCTGTCCAAGTGATACAGGTGTTTTTCCACACTCAGAGACCTTTGAGCTTCTTGATCAAGCTCACCTTTGAGGAAATTTTCCCTGAAGTTCTATCAGAATGGTATGCACAGTCCACCTTCCTTTACGTTCTCAAGGAGAGAGATACAGAGGTTGGGTGACGTCCTGCCCCTGTGTTAGGGGGCATACGTGACACCCTCTCTGTTTTTGCACAGTGTAGGTCCTGGGTAGTATTTTTGGTTTCATTGATCACCAGGAGAAGCTGAATGGTACTTTCACATTCTGAAGGAAGTGTGATACACAACTTCCTGTAAAATCACTGAGCACCAGGATCTCAGTAGCTCTTAAAGCTAATGTTCTGTCTATAAAGTAGTCTTGTTAAGTGTGAAGGTCTGTGAGTCAGTCCATGCATCCATGCATCCATCCATCCACCCATCCACCCCTCAATCCATCCATCCATCCATCCATCCATCCATCCATCCATCCAGCCAGCCAGCCAGCCAGCCAGCCAGCCAGCCAGCCAGCCAGCCAGCCAGCCAGCCAGCCAGCCAGCCAGCCAGCCAGCCAGCCAGCCAGCCAGTCTTCCATTCCTCCATCCATCCATGCATCCATCCATGCATCCATTCCTCCATTCCTCCATGCATCCATGCATACATGCATGCATGCATGCATCTATACATACATACATACATGCATTCTACAGATACACACAATCATCTTCTTAAATGCAAATGTCTGTAAGTTCAGTTCCCAGCAGAGGTTGGAACCTCAACAAATAACATCTGGCTCTCCATCTCTGAGGAGTCCCCCAAAGGACAGACAGGTTACACGGGGCCTCCTGGGGATCAGTAGATCAGGTGATCTCAAAAGTGGGTATATCTGCACGAGGGAGTGATGGAGATCAGGGAATGGATCCCCCAAACAGACACAAAGGCCTCTCTTTTAACCAAAGAATGACCAGAGGAAACCCAGGAATGCATCTTAGGAGCCAATTTATTTGGATTTATTTGGAGAGCAATTGGCATTTCGCAGGAGATCTGATCTCCCCCAATGCAAGGCAGGATGTCTCTACTGAGTGCCGTAGACCTCCACTTCACAGACAGTCAAGTAGCCCTCCCTGGGTAAGTGGACACTGACGTAGCGGCCTCGCTGCCCATTGCAGTAGACGGTGGTGATGGAGCCTAGGCTGGAGTTCAGGATAATCCCGCAGCTGTGGGCCAAGAGAGGTCAGTTAGGAGAGTAGCCATCCTGACCCCCACCTACCGGTCACCCCACACTCACCCTGAGAACACCCCCCTTGAATCTTCAAGGGCAGCCCCCTTTGAGCAGCAGTCCAGACCTCCCGTCCTCTGCTCCCCAGGTGCTGGGCCTCCATTTTGCCCCTCATGTTCCATTAGCTGTAAATATTAACCTAGTCCAGGGGTAGGCAACCTCGGCTCTTTTATGACTTGTGGACTTCAACTCCCAGAATTCCTTCTGACTCAGGAATTCTGGGAGTTGAAGTTCATGAGTTGTAAAAGAGCCGAGGTTGCCTACCCCTGACCTAGTCGGACAAACTATAGGACGAAGAAATGGTTTTTAAAAAAACTTTGATTGCTTTCTCAAGGTCTTGATTTTTCGGATCAAGCTCTGAAGAATGTTACTGTCAAGCATGAAAAATAAGGAGGTCCAGGCAGTTCAAAAGATTATACAGTTTGTTGCAAGCTTAATCTCTCTAGAAGAATCTGAACTACTAACAGTCAAAGCAAATTGGCGGTAGATAAGAGTCCAGGGAATTCAAGGAGGGCTGGAATTGGATCTCTGGTGGGCGCAAAAGGACTCCAGGCTGATGACGCCTTTGGCTCCTCCCTCCCTCCCTCCGGCTCAGCTTGCTCATCTCCTACAGCTATGGTCTTTCTTTTTTTTTTGATCCTGCTTCTGAAGAATGCTACAGTCTTTATCAAGGGCTGCATGAATTTCTCCAACCCGGTTTTCTCCAACCTGGCCTGGATGGCTATCTTGGCCAGATCCGTCCATTGGAAATGGGCAGCTAATCAATTCAAATAAACAAATATATAAATAAAATCCCAGATCTGAGCAATTTATTCACCCATAACTTAAACTCTCTCTTTTGCTCCCTTACCCAGCAGTTTCTCTAAATGCAATAAAATGATTGGCTCCACCTTTGTTTCCCATTGTCTTCTCCTGATTTATTGTTTTCTTTCCCAAAACACTTTGGAAGCCCAAAAAGAACATATTTTTTAAGGTGAAGCGACCAGAACAAAATCCAAGCACAGAAACCTCCTTTTCCATCACAGCCACATGGCCTCGTTTCATGCACTTCTGAAGGAACCCATGTTCTCGATTTGGAACAGAAATGACAGGAAGAATTAACAATCAGGTGGCATTCACACAGCCCCCCAAACTAACTGGTATCAGGTCAGGTCTTTTCCCATCTCTTGGAGGAGCAAGGAGGGAGGTGATCTCACAATCCCCACACCGATGGAGTTATAACATCTTGGCATCTCATACCCAACAGCACCCCAAAATCATCCACACTGGTTGTGGATTCTGTGTGTGGGATGCCACAAACACCTGGAGGATCCCAGTTGGGGATGAATGATTCAAAGCAACTTACAGTGGGTTGGATCTTCCATGGTCCTCCAGAGAGTCTCCTAGGTGGACCTCAGCTTCAAAGAGTCTTTCGCCACAGCAGTCCTCGCGGTTTCTCACCACCACTGCGTAGATTTTATGAGACTCTCCCAGGTCCACGTACCACCCGGGGTTTCTCTCCAGGTTGGTGTGGGTGCAGGAGGCGTGGATCCAGGTCCCGTTGCAGTCCCCATCCACGGCTTTGTCCGGTGATCCAAGGATCTCGTAGGGAAAGTTGGAAGTCTGGTAGGCCGGCTTCCCTAAGGCCAAGTTCTTTGCCCCTCTGTCTGCAGGAGAGAATGGAGGAGATCCTTCAAGCAGAAGGTGGTGAGGAGAAGAAGAAGAAGAAGAAGAAGAAGAAGAAGAAGAAGAAGAAGGGAAGGTGCAAAGCCAAGAGGGCAACATTTTGGTGGCACGAGGAATGAATTTTGAAGACTGGGAAATGGGTTGAAACAAGTGAGCCGAGCACAGTGCTACATTCCTCTGCTATCGTTGGAGGAAACTCCCCTCGGCCTCCTCTTCCTCCCTCCCCAGTTGGCAGCAAATTGGCAAGAGAAGAACTGGGCGTCACCCCAGTAGATTCAATGAGGTCTATATCAAGTGACAGATTTTATTTTCCTGGGCTCCAAGATCACCTCAGATGGGGACTGCAGCCAAGAAATTAAAAGACACTTGCTCCTGGGGAGGAAAGCTATGGCAAATCTAGACAGCATACTAAAAAGCAGAGACATCACCCTGCCAACAAAAGTGCGTACAGTCCAGGCCATGGTTTTCCCAGTTGCAATGTACGGCTGTGAAAGTGGGACCATAAGAAAGGCTGAGCGCCAAAGAATGGAGGCCTTTGAACTATGGTGCTGGAGAAGACTCCTGCGAGGCCCCTGGACTGCAAGGCAATCAAACCAGTCAGTCCTGGAGGAGATCAACCCCGACTGCTCTCTAGAAGGCCAGATCCTGAAGTTGAAACTCAAGTACTTTGGCCACCTAATAAGAAGGAAGGACTCCCTGGAGAAGAGCCCGATGCTGGGAAAGATGGAGGGCAAGAGAAGAAGGGGACGACAGAGAAGGAGGTGGCTGGATGGAGTCCCTGAAGCAGGAGGTGTGAGCTTCAATGGACTCGAGAAGATGTCAGAGGACAGGAAGGCCTGGAGGAACATTGTCCATGGGGTCGCGATGGGTCGGACACCACTTCGCAATTAACAACATATCAAGTGGCCATTTACCACCTGATCTTGCTGCACTGGAGGCCATGTGGGCGATGGGTCCATAGCCACTGGACAGACTAGGGAGAGCAAATATCCAGTTGCCCTGCTTATATCACTCCCCCCCTGTTCATATTCTATTGGTTTGGTCCTCTGCAAGTGTCTCCAGGGTACACCCAGATGTTCTGAAGCGTAGGAGTATGGGTTAGAAAAACAAAGAACACCCATCAAAGAGAACAAAATGCCCAAACGCCCATCTGGTTGGGAAACATACAAGTTGAAGTCCCTGCTCCCAAGGACACCCCACAACGGCTGTGCAACAGACCACTGAAGTTCAGGGATCTCGTGGTCCTTTGAGCAACCAACTATGGTATGTGTTGGTATCTGAAGGAGCTACAAGTCTAAGAGGAGAGAGTGGCAGAGGATTACTGGACCTTGAGATGGCCAGGACTACACCTTTATCCCACATACACATGCAACACACAAAGGTCTTTAGGTGCTTCTTACTTCCAGGTGGAGGCCTGCAACTCTGAGCTGCTGCAGGGGCAGCCAAGAGGATCACGGCCAGCAGACACTCCCAGATGAAGAACATCGTCCTGCAAGCGAGGAAGGGAGAGAAAAAGCATGGTAATGCCTCGTAGGGACAATGAGGAACTGGCTTCCTCTACTCAACACATCTGAACTTCAGGATTGGCCATGGACCCAAAGGAGGGTTGGAGGTATTTTCAAGGTTCTGCCATTCTCCCAGAGGACCTTCAAGAGCGTTCCTGAAATTGCTCCTCTGACTGTTTCCTCACCTGGCCTTTCTCACATGCTGACACCAATCCCATTGAAAAATTAAAGGGGGGGTTATCAGCGTCTCTTTCTCATCAGCCCACTTTCTCAGGCTACCTCATAATTTCACCTACCCCTCCTTCAACAGGTCACTCAGTGGTTAGCTTTTCCTTCTTTCCCCGCTACTCACCTTCTTCAATCTCTTGGGGATGACCAAAGGGCTGCCTGTCCTTCCTGGAAGGTGAACCACCACAGCTTCTCTCCACCAACAGGTGCTTCAGGTGAGCCCTGGACCTCCTTCTGGCCAGCTCTGGTTTTATCCCCTTCCTCCCAGGTAGGACTAACCTGACTCAGGATGTCCAAGCCAATCAGAAGGAGGCCAGACCTGAAGTTGACCTGGGTCCCTACTCAGGTGGAGCTTTAAGTTTGCTTTGCTACAAGATCCATCACCAATCTAGCAATTATGTATTTTATTGACTCTCTCCCACAGCAAAAAACCACACACGGCTTTTTAGCAGGAAAGTCTGCATTCCCATACAACACACGACAAGCCCTCAGCAAACACTAAAGTCAGCATTGAATTTCACATTACAACAGCATCTTATCCATGGAATGGGGTAGCTTGCTCTGCTTTACAAGCGCACCAAAAGCAAGCCCAAGTTGTTTTTTTTTAGAAAAAAATCATGGCTGCATCAACTAAGCCAACTATTCACTGATTTCATTTTCTCCGTAATTATATTTTCCAACCCCTTGTCTACATCAGGGCTTTTCAACCAGTGGTACGGGTACCACCTGTGGTACATTGGCACCTGGCAGGTGGTACGGGACCATCCTAGAAAAGGGGTAGTGGGGGAGGGGAATGAGCTGAGCCGGTGGCAGCACCGCACAAGCCTGAGCGAGAGACGGCTGGAGCTGCAGGGCTGTCAGGGCTCAGTGGAAGCAACAGGATCAATGCCGCTTTCCAGCTGATCGGCGCTTCTTCGGGGCTGTCAGGGCTCAGTGGAAGCGCCAGGATCAGCGCCAGGATCCAGCTGGAGCTCAGCGCTGATCCTGGTGCTTCTGCTGAGCCCAGAAGAAGCGCCGATCAGCTGGAATGTTGCAGCATCTCCAGGGTCTTGTGATTTACATTCAGATGCTTGGCAACTGATTCATATTTATGACGGTCACAGTGTCCCAGGGTCATGTGGAGTGACCAAAACCTGCTGCAACCACCCAGCAGACGGGGGGGAATAAAAACCAAACACCCCCCACCCCACCCCCACTGCCAATCACAACAATGAAAACCTCGGACAGGAGGAAGAGCGCTCCAGGCAGGTGTCTTGCTCGGCTGTGGCTCAGGGGGCACTTTTTTCAGTGTCATTGTAACTTCGAACAATCACTAAGCGAACTGTTGTAAGTCAAGGACTACCTGTACTTTATCACTTTTTCCCCTTTTTTTTGGTCATCAAGTTTTTGACACCTTGCTAGGCGACTGGTGGTACTCGGATGTTGCCGTATCCTAAAAGTGGTACAATGGGTGAAAAGGTTGAAAAGCCCTGGTCTACATAAATAAATAAAAACATGGCTACCATCTCTGTGGCTATTGCCTCTGTTGCAGATCCAAGGGTGAGGAGCAATATTCTCCAACAGGTTCTGGTCTCCTCCAGGACCCAGGACCCTCAGGAATTGTGCCCTTCCCAGAGAGGAACCATCAAGGTCCTTTGACACCCCCCCCCCCAATCATCTGCAGAAGATGCCGGAGCAAGTCACCCACAATTACAGAGTTTCAGAGTACCTGGGACAAGCTCTACACTAGCAATGTCCATAGAAGTGGGGACCCCTTGTTCCTAGGAGACCAGGAGTGTGGTTCTGGCCTTAGGCTTTGTCTCCACAGAATTTTAAAAACTCACCAAGGGTCTGTCACTTGGCCAACCAAATGAGCTTTCATAGCTGCTCCTCTTCAAAGTGCGATTTCTGCAAAATATTGAAATTCTTCTGTACCAGATATCTTTAACTCCCTTCCTAGCAGGGCTGTGGAGTCGGAGTCGGTGTCGGAGTCGAGGAGTCGGAGTCGGAGGAAATTTTGGGTACCTGGAGTCGAAGTCGGAGTCGGCAAACAATGCACCGACTCTGACTCCTACTAAATTTAGATTGGAATTAAAAAAAAAAGCAAGTTTAAATGTCCCAATTCACAAAAAGTTATAATGAATGACTTCTCTACTGTAAGAATAAAGACCAATGCATGCAGTGCCTCACGTAACCGCAAAACGAACACGTTAAGTGACCGTGAAGAAGCATGCTTTTCATGTGCTTCACTATATGGCACGCAACGCACAATTAGGAGTGGCAATACTTATACTTTCCATAGTGTTGTGTTCTGCCAGTAGTCCTGTGGTAATGACATGTATGTTGCCTTTCTTTCCTTCAAGGAATGTATAAAATACATTCGCATATTAATACAGAGGAGTCGGAGTCGGGGAGTCGGAGTCGGAGTCAGAAGTACAAAAAACTGAGGAGTCGGAGTCGGAGTCGGAACATTTATCTACCGACTCCACAGCCCTGCTTCCTAGTGGGGTAGTTCTTCCTTCAGAGGATTCAACCAGCCAATGGAAAGTGGCAGGGCTTCTGCTGAAGACCAGGGACCCAATCAAGACCTGGTTTCAAATTCCCCACAAGTGGTTTCCCCATGACTCCTGGGTGTCGGCAGTGGGGGGAGAGGGCATGTTACACAACCCACATCCCCCTGGATCTCATCTCTTCTTTCCACTTGTTAACTGATTCTCTTCTGGACAGGGACATTCCTTGGCAGATGCCAACTGATTTCCACATCAGAACATCACCATTGTCTGTGAGCAAACTCCAACGTGAATGTTATTTTTTGCAGGATGCAACTACGCTCACACCTCCGAAGTCAACGAAATTTGCAGTAGCTGAAAGGACCGGATTGCTTCCTTCCAATTCAGCAAATCACTAGGACAATGTTTCTCAACCTTGACCATTTTAAGGCATGTGGACTTCAACTCCCAGAATTCCACAGCCAGCAATGCTGGCTGTGGAATTCTGGGAGTTGAAGTCCACATGCCTTAAAATGGTCAAGGTTGAGAAACACTGCACTAGGATATAAGAAGAGAATATTTCCAAAATAAAGTAAAAAAACCCAAACGCTTCCTGGAAATAAAGGTGAACAACACTGAAGTGCCTTCCTGAAGGAAACGTTGGGCTCCTGTTCATTGATACGTTCAAAAAGTAGCCCAAATGCCATCTTTGGAGGTGACCAACTGAACAGGAGGCTGGACTTGATGGCCTCCAAGAGAAGCTTCCAAAACACCAGGTAAACAAAGGTCTCCTGCTTTCTGGGGACATGTTGAGACTCCTGGTTTGTACGATGAATGGACTGCTACGTACCTGGACAGGTACTGTGGATGGTGAGAACTTCTCCCACCTCTGATATCTGTGCTCTTCAGGCAGAAATTAGGTGTCCAACTGGGCCATCCTGTTCTATTGAGATGCCCCGCTATCAGCCGCCTCTACCACAAATGTCCTGCAGGAGAAGGGCAGTGTGGACAACCGTGGTATCTGGCACTGTGAGAAACGTGAACCGCAAACACAAAGATTTTGCTGTGTCCCTGCATAACAGATCGTCAAGAATGGCAGTAAGGACTGTGATGTTGATGCTGTTGCATGTCTTGGCACGAATGGTCTCTCCTAAAAATATATACTCTTTGTGCAGAATGATTTCCAGAGCTTGGGGCAGGAGCTTACCAGGATAGGCTGTAGGATTACTTTTTCAGAGGTTTTACCTGTATATAAGGAACAAAATGGAAAAGGCCATCGTATAGCGGAGTTCAATATGTGGCTAAAGGAGTGGTGGAAAGGGCAAGGCTTTGGTTATATTAGTCAACATGTCTGCAGCTGGTCAATTAAAAACTGTACAGAGGAGATGGTTTGCATCCATCAAAGAAAGGGATTGAGTTACGTGGCATTCAATTCACGGATTTTCTGGAGAAACATTTAAACTAAACAGTGGAGACAGAGAGTTCATTGATACGGAACATTTCTGTCCTCAGCAACCTAAAACTAACAGGGTTATCAGTGCTTGTAACATTATGTGGGTAAGAATATCAACCTTGCTGTCAAGGAAAATCAAGCTTTTGATAGTCTGTGCCACAGCACGTGCACTAATCAAACAGGTGGTAAGGAAGTAGGGGAACTCAGGTGTAAAACAGATTATGTAGAAAGTAAACACAGGGGCAGTCAAGAAGGACTCCAATGTCTATACACCAACACATACAGTATGAGGAATAAACAGGGTAAACTAGAAATTCAAGTAAATGAGGGCAGATATGATATTGTTGCGATTACGGAAACTTGGTGGGATGAAACCCACAAATGAAACAAATAGCTAGAGCGACTCCCTCTTCTTTGTGGCAGCCGCTGAGATACTGGAACACAGCTATCCTGTCCCCCCTCGTCCTTCTCTTCATTAAACTAGACATACCCAATTCCAGCAACCGTTCCTTATATGTTTTAGCCTCCAGTCCCCTAATCATCTTTGTTGCTCTTCTCTGCACTCTTTCTAGAGTCTCAACATCTTTTTTACATCGTGGTGACCAAAACTGGATGCAGGATTTCAAGTGTGGCCTCACCAAGGCCTTGTAAAGTGGTATTAACACTTCACGTGTTAATATTTCTCTACTGAGTGCCGTAGACCTCCACTTCACAGAGGGTCAAGGTGTCCTCCCTGGGTAAGTGGACATTGATGTAGCAGCCTTGGTGCCCGTCGCAGTAGATGGTGACAAGGGAGCCCAGGTTGTCATTCTGTATAATGTCACAGCTGTGGGGCAAGAGAGGTCATGTTAAGAGAGCAGGACTCCTGCCCCCCCCCACCGGTCACCCCACACTCACCCTGAGAACACAGCCCCCCCTCCTTGAATCTTCAAGGGCAGCCCCCTTAGAGCAGTAGTCCAGACCTCCCCTCCTCTGCTCCCTCGGGTGCTGGGCCCCCATTTTGCCCCAAATGTTCCATTAGCTGAAAATATTAACCTAGTCGGACAAACGACAGGTTGTCCTCGATGTAAAAAAGATGCTGAGACTCTAGAAAGAGTGCAGAGAAGAGCAACAAAGATGATCAGGGGACTGGAGGCTAAAACATATGAGAAATGGTTGCTGGAATTGGGTATGTCTAGTTTAATGAAGAGAAGGACGAGGGGGGACAGGATAGCAGTCTTCCAGTATCTCAAGGGCTGCCCCAAAGAAGAGGGAGTCAAGCTCTTCTCAAAAGCCCCTGAAGGCAGGACAAGAAGCAACGGGTGGAAACTCATCAAGGAGAGAACCTGGAACTAAGGAGAAACTTCCTGGCAGTTAGAACAATTAACCAGTGGAACCACCTGCCTCCAGAAGAGGTGAATGCTCCAACACTGGAAGTTTTTAAGAAGAGACTGGACAGCCATTTGTCCGAAATGGCATAGGGTTTCCTGCCTGAGCATCTGGACAGGTACTTCTCCCACCTCTGATATCTGTGCTCTTTAGGCAGAAATTAGATGTCCAACTGGGCTATCCTGTTCTATTGAGCTGCCCTGCTATCAGCCGCCTCTATCGCAAAGGTCCTGCAGGAGAAGGGCAGAGTGGACAACCGTGGCAGGCTGAGAGTCATGAACCACAAACACAAAGCAGGCTGAGAGTCATGAACCACAAACACAAAGCTCTCGCTGTGTCCCTGCATAACAGATACGGTGCCCTTGCTGACCTTAATAGGGATACTAAGGTGACAGGTCAAGCTGGTTGTGATGACGAAGATAACTCAAATGAGCAGGGGATGGTGGTGCCAGATGAAGATTTTGGATAGGGGAAAGTGTGTATTGGGTGTCAGGTGTCTGCCAGGTGCTACTTCCAGTAGGGACAAGAGGTGTATTTTTAAGATAGTCAAGAATGGCAGTAAGAAATATGATGTTGATGCTATTAGAATAGAATAGAGCTGGAAGGGAACTTGGGGGTCTTCTCGCCCAGCCTCCGCTCAAGCAGGAGAACCTATACCATCTCAGACAAGTGACTGTCCAGTCTGTTCGTACAAACCTCAAGTGATGGAGCACCCACAATTTCTGGTGGCAAGCTTGTTCCACTGGTTAATTGTCCTCACTGTTAGGAAGTTTCTCTTTAATTCCAGGTTGCTTCACTCTTTGGTCAGTTTACGGAAAGTTGGTGGGATGAAACCCACAAATGGAACATTCTTTGACCAGGTGACAAAATTAGTAGACCAGAGGAATGCTGTGCATATAATTTACTTGGACTTCAGTAAGGCATTTGATAAAGTAGACCACAAGCTACTACTTGATAAGATAGAAAAATGTGGGTTAGACACCATCACTAACAAATGGATTCGTAGTTGGCTGACCGGCTGTACTCAGCGTGTGGTCCTCAATGGAACCGCATCTACATGGAGGGAAGTATGCAGTGGGGTACCCCAAGGCTCTATTTTAGGTGCACTACCCTTCCACATCTTCATCAATGATTGGGATGAGGGGATAGATGGGGAACTCATCAAATTTGCAGACGACACCAAGCTGGTAGGAATAGCCAACACTCCAGAAGACAGGCTTAGGATACAAGAGGATATGGACAGACTTGAACACTGGGCACTATCTAACAAAATGAAATTCAATGGTGAAAAAAGTAAAGTTCTACATTTAGGCAAGAAAAACCAAATGTACAGGTATAGCCTATGTGGTACCTGGCTCAATAGTAGTAACTGTGAGAGTAGTAACTGTGAGAGGGATCTAGTATAGGGGTCTTAGAACACCCACCCACCCATTCATGCCTCCATCCCTCCATCCATTCATCCATTCATCCATCCATCCATGCCTCCATCCATGCCTCCATCCATCCATCCTTCTACAGATACACACAATCATCTTCTTAAATGCAAAAGTCTGTAAGTTCAGTTCCCAGCAGAGGTTGGAACCTCAACAAATAACATCTGGCTCTCCATCTCTGAGGATTCCCCAAAAGGATAAAATGGTTACACGGGATCTCCTGGGGATCAGTAGATCAGATGACCTGAAAAGGGCACAGGGGAGTGATGGAGATCAGGGAATGGATCCCCCGAACAGACACAAAGGCCTCCCTTTTAACCAAAGAATGACCAGAGGAAACCCAGGAATGCGTCTTAGGAGCCCAGAGGCAGTTTATTTGGATTTATTTGGAGAGCAATTGGCATTTCGCAGGAGATCTGCTCTCCCCCAACGCAAGGCAGGACTACTGTGTGCCGTAGACCTCCACTTCACAAACGGTCAAGCAGTTCACCCTGGGTAAATGGACACTGACGTAGCGGCCTCGCTGCCCGTTGCAGTAGACGGTGGTGATGGAGCCCGGGCTGGAGTTCAGGATAATCCCGCAGCTGTGGGCCAAGAGAGGTCACGTTAGGAGAGCAGCCCTCCTGGCCCCCCACCTACCGGTCACCCCACACTCACCCTGAGAGCACCACCCCCCCTTGAATCTTCAAGGGCAGCCCCCTTTGAGCAGCAGTCCAGACCTCCCCTCCTCTGCTCCCCAGGTGCTGGGCCTCCATTTTGCCCCTCATGTTCCATTAACTGCAAATATTAACCTAGTTGGACAAACTGCAGTGTCAGGTCCTCCAACCCTCATCGCATCTATATTCTACTTTTGGGGGCTGCCATTCTGTTGGGGGGGAGGGGGAGCTTTGCATTAGCTTGGGGTCACTTTCGCTTTCTACTCTCTCCTCCTGCCTCTAGTATACCTTTGAGAAAGGAATGTGTCTGCCTTATTAGGGAAACGGTTACCGAGAAACGAAACTGGAGAAGACCTTGAGGTGGGTGCCAACTGTGCCAGTTACCCGCTCTTCAGACCACCTGTGGACTGGCTGGATTTCAAATGGACATGGTGACTCTGTTGGGAGGAAGTGTACTGCTGTTTTAACCATACCGTTTGAGCGGGATTTTCCCCAGATCTTGCCTTGATTTCTTTACTGTCACTAATTCCCCTAATAAAAGTTTCCTTTGGAGACGATGCCTGTTTCAAGAGTTGTGCTTTCTTGGGGGGGGGGGTGTTAGCTGAGGTGGGTCCTTGCATACAGGTGGTCCTCGATTTATGATCACAATGGAATCCCAAAGCTTATATTGCTAAGTGAGAAATGTTTTAAGTGAATTTTGCCCCATTTTACGACTTTTCCTGCCACAGTTGTTAAATGAAACCTTGCAGTTGTTAAATTAGTGACGTGGTTGTTAAGTGGATCCAGTACTCTTCAATATCTTCATCAATGACTCAGACGGGGGAATTGAAGGGGAACTCATCAAATTTGCAGATGACACCAAACTGGCAGGTGTAGCCAACACCCAGAAGACAAACTCAGGATCCAAAACGGTCTTAACAAACTTGAACAATGGGCCCAGTCCAACAACATGAAATTTAATGTGGAAGAGAGCAAAGTTTTACATTTAGGCAGGAAAAATCAAAGATACAAATACAAATTAGGTGAGACCTGGCTCAAAAACAGCAACTGTGAGAAGGACCTTGGAGTCCTAGTGGACAATCACTTGACTATGAGCCAGCAGTGTGCAGCAGCAACCAAAAAAGCTAACACAATCCTGGGTTGTGTTATAGAATCAAGATTGCGCGAAGTATTAGTATCGCTTTTTGTAAAACCCTAGTAAGACCATAGCTGGAATACTGCAGCCAATTTTGGTCACCATATCACAAAAAAGATGTTGAGAGTTTGGAAAAAGTTCAGAGAAGAGCAACTAAGATGATCAAAGGCCTGGAGACTAAAACATAGGAAGAACAGCTGAAGGACTTGGGTTTGGCCAGTCTAAAGAAAAGAAGAAATAGGGGAGACATGATAGCGGTGTTCCAGTATTTGAGGGGCTGTGACAAGGCAGAGGGGGCCAGGTTGTTCACCAAAGCAGGGCAGGACAAGAAACAATGGTTGGAAACTGATCAAGGAAAGAAACAACCTGGAATTAAGGAGAAACTTCCTAACAGTGAGGACAATCAACCAGTGGAACAAGTTACCCACAGAAATGGTGGGGGCTCCATCACTGGAGATTTTTAAAAAGAGACTGGACATTCACCTGTCTGAGATGCTATAGGTTCTCCTGCTTGAGTAGGGGGCTGGACTAGAAGACCTCCAAGGTCCCTTCCAGTTCTATTCTAACCTCCTTTTCCACCACAGCCATATGGCCTCATTTCATGTACTTAACCCAGTTCTGAAGGAACCCATGTTCTGTATTTGCAACAAAAATGATCGCAAAAATTAACAATCAGGTGGCATTCACGCAGTCCCCCAAACGAATTGAGACCACAACTTAGCCAAGTGGTATCAGATCGGTGATTTCACAATCTCCTCACAATCGAGTAATGACATCTTGGCACCTCATACTCAACAGCACCCCAAAATCACCCACACTGGCTGTGGATTCTGTCCGTGGGAGGCCCCAAACACCTGGAAGTCCCAAATATTTGGTGACAGCTGTCTCAGAGCAACTTACAGATGGTTGAATCTTCCGTTGTTTTCCAGAGAGTCTCCTAAGTGGACCTCGGCTTTATACAATCTTTCGCCACAGCAGTCCTCGCGGTTTTTCACTATCACAACGGAGATTTTATGAGATTCTCCCAGGTCTACGTACCACCAGGGGTTTCTCTACACATTGGTATGGGCGCAGGAGCCTTGAATCCACATCCCGCTGCAGTCCCCATTCACGGCTTTGTCTGGTGGTCCACCATACTCATTGACGTAGAGGGAGGACTGGTAGGTTGGCTTCCCCAAGACCAAGTTTCTTCCCACTACGCCTGCAGGAAAGAACGGAGGAGAAGGTGGTGGGGAGGAGAAGAAGAAGGGAAGGTACAAAGCCCCGAGCCCCCCTTTTTGTGAAGATTGTTGGGGGAGCTTTGAAGAGGTGGAGGGAAGCGAACAGAGGGCAATGCTCCGTGTCTTTGCTATTGGGGGAGGACCCCCCCCTTGGCTCTCTTCTTTCTCCTTCTCCAAATTGGCATGAGAAGAACTGGACATCCTCAAAATAGATTCCATGAGACCTCAACTGAGTCGCCATTTAGCAGGTTTTTATTCTGACCAGTGAGATTTATCCCTGGGTATAAACACATACATCATGGGTGTGGGAGATTGCTCCACTGGAGACCTCGTGGGTGATGGAATTGTAGCCAGTGGGCAGATTCAACATTTGGAAACTGATCAAGGAGAGAAGCAACCTGGAACTAAGGAGAAACTTCCTGACAGTTAGAACAATTAACCAATGGATTACCTCCAAGGTCCCTTCCAACTACTACTACTACTACTACTACTACTACTACTACTACTACTACTACTTCTTCTTCTTCTTCTTCTTCTTCTTCTTCTTCTTATTATTATTATTATTATTATTATTATTATTATTATTACTATTATTATTACTGCTACTGCTACTGCTACTGCTACTGCTACTGCTACTGCTACTGCTACTGCTACTACTATTATTAAATATCCAGTTGGTCCCCTCCCCAATTTACAATGTATTGGCTTGGTCCTCTCCAGGTGTCTCCAGGGGACACCCAGTTGCTGTAAAGTGTAGGAGTAAGAGGTAGAGAAACAAAGAACACCCATCAAGGAGAACAAAATGCCAAAGTGGACAGGTTTTTGGAAGGCATAGACATTGAGTTCCCATCTCACAGTGACCACAGGTTCCACTGAAATTCAGAGGCCTCGTGGCTCTTGTTCCCTTTGAGCAGGCCACTACGCTATACATCTATGGAGATTCTCCGTCATCCAGGTCATGGTTGTCCCAAAGGTGCTTTTTCAAAAGTCAACTGGACTTTCTTGTTTTTCCTTGAAGACATTTCTGTTCTCATCCCAGAAGCTCCTTCAGTTCAAGAAGCTTCAGGGATGAGAAGCGAAACATCTTGAAGGGAAAACAAAGTCCATTTGCCCCAAAGATGCTTTTTCACGAGGCAACTAAACTTTGTTTTTCTTTGAAGACATTTCACTTTTCATCCAAGAAGCTTCTTCAGCTTTGACTGGATGGTGGCGAAGGGAAGGATTTACACTCCTTGCAGACAGCTGGTCATTTGCATCTTTTTAGAGAGTCGTTGAAGCCACCTGGAGGTTGACCTGTGTCCTCAGGGTCACCTGAGTGGTGCAAATGCGTGTGGAGCCTTCTTGGAACTGCTGAAAGGACCATGTGGTAGAATGGAGATAGAAGATGTCCTATCCCTCCCCCTCTGTTGAGGGAGGGGTGTTCAGTTTTGACACAGATGGCCTCTTGGACCCCCCTTTCAAACCAGCGGTCCTCCCTGTCCAAAAGGTGGACTTTGCTAGCTTCAAAAAAGCAGCCTTTGTCTTGAAAGGCAGATGGAGCTGCTAACTCTTGTCCTGATGGGTTTGTTCTCCTGTGTTGTGCCAGGTGTTTATGAAAGTCCAGTTTCCTTTTGAAAAAGCACCTTTGTGACAGCTATATTGGTTTCAGGTTGTGTGTTGATATCTGAAGGTTCTACTAGACTAAAAGGAGAGTGGGAAAGGACCACTGAGACTTTAAGACACCCAGGACTTCACCTGTATTCACACGCGTGCAACACACAAAGGTCTTCAGGTGGTTCTTACCTTCAGGTAGGGGTCTGCAACTCTGAGCTGCTGCAGGGCCGGCCAGGAGGGTCACAGCCAGCAGACACCCCAAGACAATGACCGTCATCCTACAAGCGAGGAGGGGACAGATCAGGAAAGGCAGGGAAGCACCTTGTAGGGACCATGAGGAGCTGGTTGCCCCTGCCCAACACATCTGAGCATCAGATCTGGCTATGGACCCAAAGGAGGGTTGGAGACACCTTCAAGGTTCTGCCATCCTCCCAGTGGACCATCCACAACATTCCTGGCATAGTGTCTCTACCTGTTTCCTCCACTGATCTTCCTCACATACTGATATCAATCTTAATGTCCCATAAAAAAAGATCACAACAGACTCACTCTGTGATTAGCACTTCCTTTTTTCCCCCACCACTCACCTTCTTCAATCTTGGCGATGACCACAGAGATGGATGTCCTTCCTGGAGGATGAGCAACCACAGCTTCTTTCCACCAACAGGTCTTAATGCTTCAGGTGAGCCTTGGACCTCCTTCTGGCCAGCCCTGGTTTTATCCCCTTCCTCCCAGGTAAGACTAGCCTTGCTCAGGAAGTCCAAGCCAATCAGGAGGCCAGACCAGAGGTTGACCTGGGACCCAACACAGGCAGACCTTCAGGCTGGCCGCTGGTAGAAGATCTATCACCAATCCAGCAGACATGGTCTTCTCTCATGTATTTTCAGCCCCAGGACCATGACCCATCTCAAAATGGGGTTGGCTCTCTCCCATAGCAAAAAACAACACACAGCTGTTTAGCAGGAAAGCTTGTGTTCCCGTACAACACATGACAAGCCCTCAGCAAACACTAGAATAAGCTGTGAATTTCGCAAGACCTCTGCATCTCATGCGTGGAATGGAGCCATCATTTCAGTGGGGCCATGTGGTGAGCTCATCAAACAGGTCAAAAGCAAACTCAAGTTTTTTTTTAAAAAAAATCATGGCTGCATCAACTAAGCCAACCTTCATTGATTGTATTTTCTACGTAATTATCTTCTCCAACCCCACCTCCTCGTCCACATAAATAAAAAATAATCGACTATCTTCTCTGTGGTTTATTGCCTCTGTTGGAGGTCCAAGGGTGAGGAGCAGTCTTCTCCAACAAATGAAGACACCCCTCCCTCCTTTGGAATATTGGAACCAGGTTTGGTCACAACAATCTCAAGAAGATGTTGAGTGCAGAGAAGAGCAACAAAGGTGACGAAGGGAATGGAGGCTAAAACATACGAAGGACGGTTGCAGGAATAGGGTATGTCTAGTTTAATGAAGAGAAGAACGAGGGGGGACACGATAGCAGTGCTCCAATATCTGAGGGGCTTCCACAAAGAAGAGGGGGTCAAGCTATTCTCCAAAGCACCTGAAGATAGGACAACCTAATCAAGGAGAGATCCAATCCCGAGTAAAGAGGGAATTTTCTGACAATTGGAACAATTAATCAGTAGAACAACCTGCCTCCAGAAGTTGTGGGTGCTCCATCACTGAAGAGATTGGACAGCCATTTGTCTAAAATGGTATAGGGTCTCCTGCTTGAGCAGGGGTTGGACTAGAGGACCTCCAACTCTGTTATTCTGTTATTCCTCCAGGACCCAGGACCCTCGAGAATTGGGCCCTTCCCAGAGAGGAGCTTCAAAGTCCTTTGACCTCACATCACCTGCAGAGGATGCCAGAGCAAGCCACCCACAGCTACAGAGCTTCAGAGTACCTGGGGCAAGCTCTACTCCAGCAGTGTCCATCAAAGTGGGGACACCCTGTTCCTAGGAGACCAGGAGTGTAGTTCTGGCCTTAGACATTGATCAGTTTACAACCATTGTTTCTTGTCCCGCCCTCTGGTGCTTTGAAGAATAGCCTGGACCCCTCTGCCTTGTGGCAGCCCCTCAGATACTGGAAAACTGCTATCATGTCTCCCCTATTTCTTCTTTTCTTTAGACTAGCCAAACCCAAGTCCTGCAGCCGTTCTTTGTATGTTTTAGCCTCCAGGCCTTGGATCCTCTGAGTTGTTCTTCTCTGAATTTTTTCCAAACTCTCAACCTCTTTTTTGTGATATGGTGACCAAAATTAGTTGCTGTATTCCAGGTGTGGTCTTACTAGGGTTTTATAAAGTGGTACTAATACAGTGCTGCACACTGCTGACTCATGGTCAAGTGATCGTCCACTAGGACTCCAAGGTCCCTCTCACAGTTACTGTTTTTGAGCCATGTCTCACCCAATCTGTACTTGCGCCTTTGGTTTTTCCTGCCTAAATATAAAATTTTGCTTTTCTCCACATTAAATTTCATGTTGTTGGACTGGGCCCATTGTTCAAGTTTGTCAAGACCGTTTTGGATCCTGGGTTTGTCTTCTGGGTGTTGGCTACACCTGTCAGTTTGGTGTCATCTGCAAATTTGATGAGTTCCCCTTCAATTCCCTCGTCTGAGTCATTGATGAAGATATTGAAGCGTACTGGATCCACTTAACAACCATGTCACTAATTTAACAACTGCAAGGTTTCATTTAACAACTGTGGCAGGAAAAGTCGTAAAATGGGGCAAAATTCACTTAAAACATTTCTCACTTAGCAATATAAACTTTGGGATTCCATTGTGATCATAAGTCGAGGACCACCTGTATGTAAGGACCCACCTGCCTAAATGTAAAACTTTGCTTTTCTCTACTTTGAAACTCATGTTGTTGGATAGGGCCCGTTGTTCGAGTTTGTCAAGACCTTTTTGGATCCTGAGTTTGTCTTCTGGGGGGTTGGCTACTCCTGCCAGTTTGGTGCCATCTGCAATTTTTTTTTTATTAAATAATTTTTATTAAATACAAAAGAAAAGGAAATTAAAAACATTGAACATGGTGTATCGTCCTCGACATATATCTTCGTCTTATCATTCCATAATGTACAAATGAATAAATATTATGTATTTATATACAGCTATACAATCCTGGTATCCTTCCTCTGCTTATAACCCTTCTGCCGACTCCATTCTTTTTCCCCTCCATTTGTAAAACTTGTTCCAAATTAGATAATATTCTGTTTCCTCCTGATTTTTTAATTCTTTAGTCATTCTGTCCAATTCTGCGCAATACATAAGTTTCCTTATTAACACATCCCCGCTAGGGTGCCATCTGCAAATTTGATTAATAATAATAATAATAATAATAATAATAATAATAATAATAATAATAATAATAATAATAATAATAATAATAANGCTTTGGAGAAGAGCTTGACTGCCTCTTCTTTGGGGCAACCCCTGAGATATTGGCACCCTGCTATCCTGTCCCCCCTCGTCCTTCTCTTCGTTAAACTGGTCATGCCCAATTCCAGCAACCGTTCCTTATATGCTTTAGCCTCCAGTCCCCTGATCATCTTTGTTGCTCTTCTCTGTTCCCCTTCTATTCCCTCAGACTTTTTTTTTACTCACCTGGAGCCTGTCACTTGTCAACCAAATGAGATTTCACAGCTGGTCTTCCTCAAGCTGCAATTTCTGCAGAATACCAGATATTTTTATCTCCCTTCCTAGTGGGGCAGCTCTTCCTTCAGAGGATTCAACCAGCCAATGGAAATCAGCAGAGTTTCTGCTGAAGACCAGGGACCCAATCAAGACCAGATTTCAAATTCCTCACAAGGGGTTTTCCCCTTACTCCTGGCTGTTGACAGTGGAGGGGGGAGGCCATGTTACGCAACCCACAATCTACTGTATCTCACTTCTTCTTTCCAGGTGTTAAGGGAATCTCTTCTGGACAGGAACATAATATTCTTCCTTGGCAGACGCCAACTGATGGCGGTTATCCACATCAGAACCTCATCATTGTCCCTTAGCAAACAGCAAAATGAATGCTCACACCTCCAAAGTCAACACAAGTTGTAGTTGCTGAGAGAACCAGGATGTTCCCCCGTTGTTGTAACTTGGTAGAGCATAAGAAGAGAATATTTCCACATTAAAGTCAATAAATGTGTACCCTAGTGTGTCTCAATCTCGGCTGCTGGAAGATGGGTGGACTTCAACTCCCAGAATTCCCCAGCCAGCAGAGCTTGGCTGTTGAAGTCCACCCATTTTCTGGCGGCCAAGACTGAGAAAGTAAACAACACGGAAGTGTCTTATGGAGGGAGATGCTCCTGTGTGAAAAGTAGTCCTAAGGCCACCTTCTGAAGGTGACCAAGTGAGCAGGAGGCTGGACTTGATGGCCTCCAAGGGAAGCTTCCAAAACACCAAGAAGGTGAAGGACACCTGCTTTCTGGGGACATGTGGAGACTCCTGGTTTGTACCGTGAATGCGCTGCTGTGTACCTGGACAGGTAAGATGATGGTAACAACTTCTCTGATCACCTGGGTCACCCCAGTCTGGCCTGACTCATGCCAGCAACGCCTTCCTTTGTCCCAAACTATGCTTTGTGCCCTTTGTTAATAATAATAATAATAATAATAATAATAATAATAATAATAATAATAATAATAATAATAATAATAATAATAATAATAATAATAATAATAATAAAGTTGGAAGGGACCTTGGAGGTCATCTAGTCCAACCCCCTGCTCAGGCAGGAAACCCTGTACCCTTTCAGACCAATGGCTCTCCAGTGTCTTCTTAAAAACTTCCAGTGTTGGAGCATTCACCGCCTCTGGAGGCAGGTTGTTCCACTGGTTAATTGTTCTCACTGTCAGGAAGTTTCTCCTTAGTTCTAGGTTGCTTCTTTCCTTGATCAGTTTCCATCCGTTGCTTTTTGTCCTGCCTTTAGGCGCCTTGGAGAAGAGCTTGACTCCCTCTTCTTTGGGGCAGCCCCTGAGATATTGGAACACGGCTATCATGTCCCCCCTCGTCCTTCTCTTCATTAAACGAGACATACCCAATTCCAGCAGCCGTTCCTTATATGCTTTAGCCTCCAGCCCCCTAATCATCTCTGTTGCTCTTCTCTGTAAACCACACTTAGAAACATGGAAAACTGACTGCAGAAAAAGAGCTAAGGGTCCATTGAGTTGGCCCTTTTTGTTCGTTTCTTGCAATCTAGAACTAAGGAGAAACTTCCTGACAGTGAGAACAATTAACCAGTGGAACAACCTGCCTCCAGAAGCGGTGAATGCTCCAACACTGGAAGTTTTTAAGAAGAGACTGGACAGCCATTTGTCTGAAATGGTATAGGGTTTCCTGCCTGAGCAGGGGGTTGGACTAGATGACCTTCAAGGTCCCTTCCAACTTTA